TTTCTGTAAATATGGCCGCCACAAAGAGGATAGGCAATTTGAGGCGGCGTGCTTGGATTGACTCGGGATTCCTTAAAACGGGCCGATACGGGTATTTTAGTTCGAGATTCGTATAATTTCGCGTTTTAATCTTCGATTAAGGCACAATAGCACTATCCTATTCCACTTTAAACTAGATTTCACAAAATAATTGAAAGTCAAAATAAAAACGACACTTTTCCCTCCAAAACGTCCAGAGCGAATCCGATACGTAACTACAATGTTTTTCATCACAATTATGGATTTTGCGAATAGCGGGTTTTTTGGGTTTTTTTAATCAATGGATTGTCAGCTAGCGATTCTGCCATAGATAACACAATTCGAACTAGAATGTTGTAAAAAGAAAAACGCATACAGCCATAATGGATTGTAAAAAAAATGCTAAGTTTGTAGACAGAAAGTAATTAATATCAAATAAAAGAAATTTTTAATAACAAGCATTGCAATTAAAGTTCTGTTTATGTAACATTTTAGGGGAATGTTTTAATTTTGAACTTAAGTAACCTACAAATAAAAAAAAATCTCTTTAGCGACCATGATTGTAATGGGAAAAAAAAACACCAGAGGGTTGTATTTGGGGCTTTCTAATCAAGTTAACTACCACGGAATTATACTATTTACGAGCAAGTGTGGTGAAAAGAAATTCGATTGCAGCTAAAAAACAAAGTGTAGTTATATCCCAGTTCCCAGTTGTAGGGGATAACTGGACCCCATTACAAAAGCTACTCACTATCTTTTAGAGCGTGTGTCACACTGAATGATTCTCCTCTTCCCTTGTAGAAGAGCTTAAGCTGCAGTAAAAAAGCTCTGTCTTCGGTGTTGGACGGTTCGTCTTCTTCGCCCTCGCTCTGGCGGTCAGGGGCGCCGTTGCGGAGGGAGAGGCGGCGGGGGGTCTGGAAAGATCAAAGTTATAACCGTTATACTTTCTTGATAATTTCGAGAGCCGATACCACGGTCTAATCACCACGTAGTAAGCGTTAATTTATAGTTTGTAATAATGCCATCTAGTGGCATGCATATTTGTCAAGTTCAGAAAATTATTATGGCTCATGATCAATATGTCTGTATGTCTGTATGTATTACAATAGTGTTATAACTCAAAATATGTGAAATTCAAGATTATACCATTGTTGAACGTAAAAGTTGATTCTCTGCACGTCAATAAAACCGTCGTTACAATATTGTAAAAAACAACTAAAAGACATCTACTTAATTTTTTTTTTAATAACGCGTGCGCGTTATTAGTGTGCACTCATCATAGCCCCGCACTAGGGAATCCCTGTGTCGCGGGTGCCATGGACACACACATAGACAACCACAAATTACACCGAAACGCACGAGAGAAATAAATGTAGGCCATACAAACATTTCTCCCGGCCCGGGAATCGAACCTGGGACCTCTGCGTGGCAGTCCGGTAACCGTCATGGTAACCGTTCGGCCACAGAGGCAGTTAACTTACTTTTATTTATAGTTTATAGTTATTACTTAACTCAAAATGGGACACGCTTTATGTGAGCTAGTTTTGGACAAAATAGTCCTTATTCAAAAATATGATATTGTTTTCTCTTTTATTTTTAAATATGTATATATTTAAAAATATAACTAACCTATACATAAATTTACACAGTTCTTCTACGGGAAGCGAGTAAATAGTTTTTCGGCGATTCTGAGGAAATACACTTTTTGAGTTATTACATAATTGTATAAGTGCGATGTATTTGAATAACATAACAAGGAAAAACTGACTAATTATATTTTATAATAATAAGAAACTAATTGATATCCACGGCCATTACGTCCAGGCAGCCATCTAGATGTAAAACGGACCATTCACTACCTGCGTGGCAGTCCGTCGCGCAGCAGGAACCTATCCTGCGTATGGCCCACGTATGGAATCTCGCAGGATTACTGGATGGCTTCCTCGCTGCGACTACATTCATAATCCTGCATTACGCGGTGGACGGCAAGGCGGACTGCAATGCAGGATAATGAATGCCCCCTTTTAGACGGAATTTTGACCTTTTTCAGAGTTATGATATGTAAGTACGGAGATTAGCAGTAGTGATGCAGCGGACCTCTGCTTCCGCTTCCGCAACCGCGAAAGTTCCGTAAGCTTTTTCACATCTGTTTCCTCTTCTGCTTCCGCAACTTTAACGCAACGCAATGGATTACGTTCGCATTGCTGTGCAAAGGCCTTAAAAGTGCAATTATGAAACAAAAAAAAACGAGCCTGTTTGTATCTATTTCGTGGAGATCTTTAAAGTATTTACACTTTCGCGTCCGTATCCGTTTCTGCTAAGGTTTACATCTGACATCTGTTTCCATCATTACACTTCCATTGCATCACAAATGGTTAGAAAATGAAATGGTTATCTTAGAAATGAAGAATTTCCATACAAAAACTCAAAAGCGCCATCTGCTGTTGTATACAGAACTACGTACTTGAGAGTCGTTGCTGTGAACACGATTGGTAATGTAATACTAAGTACCGACAAGCTACTAACTTACTTTAGGTAATTCCTTGTGTTCAACAGGCTCTCCCCGGTCACTGTCACTGGACCTGGACCGCGACCGTGATGAAGGCGACTGACTCCTAGACCTGGCGGCGCGGCGACGACGGCCCCGCGGTCGGCCCTTAAGCCGAGGGGCCAGGTGGTTGCAAATGAACTCGTGACTTTCTAGCTCAGGGTATTCGAAGGTATCCTGGAGTTTGGAGAAAAGTTACGTGTATATTACCTATTTCTGCCGGTGAAGTTACAGACACATGTGACTTGTCAACTTATGTCTCAGGGCGACGGGTGCAGAGGCAGTATTCCTTAGATTTTTGCGATTTAAAGCTCTTAGTGGTACCGCAACTGTTATTTATAGACGTGTCGCTTACCGTCAGCCGCACGACTTGTTCGTCCCGTCTCTTAGTAAATAAAAAAAAACTGTAATACAAGGTGGAAACGAAAAAGAAGTACACCAGCCATAACCTTAGTGTAACCGCCCCAATTGGCCCATGACTTACTCTTCAAAACCGGAACGCAGTAATGCTGACATTACTGTTTGGCGGTAGAAACGGGTAAGGTTTAGCAGTACTTCCCTGAGCTCGACTGCTATTAAAATTCCAGGTATGTTAATAACTCCATTACGTTGTCTATAAGGAGGCAGCATAGACAATATATAACATTATAAAAGAAAGTTCTTTTTTGGTTTAAAGTTAGCTAGGACTTTTTGCAAACACTATACAAACAGTTCCGCCATCGAGGTCGTCAAAATGAAGCCATTTTTAACCGACTTCAAAAAAGGAGGGGGTTCTCAATTCGACTGTATGTTGTTTTATTTTATTTTTTGTATGTATGTTACGCGATAACTCCGGTGTTTGTGAACCGATTTTCATGATTCTTTTTTGTTGGAAATAGGGTACCTCCATAGTGGTCCGCTTTTATTTTGAAGAAAATCATCCACCTCTAAGGGTGGCTGTTCACGCATGAAGATTCATTTTTATAAATAGCGCCTAAATTTTATTATAAGGAGCAATTACTTTAATGGTTGATTTTGCTATTCTCCAATACAAGGCGTTTTTCTCTCTCAATATACTTTGATTAGTGAGAACCGATTTTTATTATCTCCTGTGTCAAGTCCCGTATAGTGCGAACTAGGGGATGAACCCGGGTTTGTGCACTTTCCGGTAACCGATTTCAATAAAACTTGGTAATTATACTAGTATTAAAATACGGAGGGTGCTTTACGTGCACCCGAGGCGGCTCACCCAAGGCCTTTTGAGAGCTGGATGAAGGCCGTGCAAACGGGCTGGTAGTGCGATTCACGTAAGTTCAAGCTATCAAAATATCGTTGAAGTTTAGTAGTCGTGCGATCGAAGTCCTATCCAAAATTGGTATTCACATATAACTTAAACGAACGTTGATAAGAATAGAATCGAATCGTAACGACTAATGGACGACATCTTGGATTGTGAAATTTGACATTTAGTCGTCGAAAATCCATTTGAAAGAACTGTCAAAATTTTTGCAGAATACGCATTGATTTACAAATAAATGGACGACGGGTCTAATACAAAAATCACGGAAAAAATGTCCCAAGTGAACCTATTTAAACGTAGTGACATGTAAAGGAATATGAAAAAGCTAAAGCGTTGAATTTAAATTGTAATGTCATCGCAGTACTGTCTAATTTTGCTTGCTTCGCTGTCAGTCGAACAAACGAAGACTAAAGCATGAATGACGCTCTGTATACGATTTTAACGCCCTATAAGTTCGGACACTTTTTAGCGCGGACCCGACGTCCATATAATTGTAAGTCAATGAGAATACGTATGACTTGTCGTTTATAGTCCATTTAAGTTCGATTCATGTACCAGAATACGCTTTAACGACATTTGGATCGAACGACTTTAAAATTGGACTCGTTGACATTCGACTGTCACACCTGAATGCAAAAAGGAGTGTAACGACTAAATCGCTACGATATCGTAACAGTTTGATTACGTGAATTACCCCACTGGGGTTAAGACCTGAACTTATAAGGTTCTTGTGCGCGCACAGGTTATAGTGCCATTCCATAACCAAACGTATGTAGAAAAGGTACGGGAGCTGTAGTTTAGCGTTATACTGTACTTTACGGACAATCTGCTACTGCGCGCGTCAACATGAGACATAAATATGACAAGTCCTATGTGCCTGCTATTTCATTAGCAAACTCAACTTACGTCTGGGCGGCAGAAATGTATATGGCAGCAGTACTTCCCTGGACGAACACTTTCACAAGGAGCTCTATTTATATTCTTGCTTTTTAACCGACTTCAAAAAAGGAGGAGGTTCTCAATTCGACTGTACTTTTGTATGTTACGCGATAACTCCGGTATTTGTGAACCGATTTTAATGATTCTTTTTTTGTTGGAAAGGGGGTACTTCCATAGTGGTCCCATTTCATTTTGAAGAAAATCATCCACCGTTAAGGGTGGCTGTTCACGCATGAAGATTCATTTTTATAAATAGTGCACGACTTTAATTTAGGAGCAATTATTTTAATGGTTGTTTTTGCTATTTCTCCAATTCAAGGCGTTTTTCTCTCGATATACTTTGAGTAGTGAGAACCGATTATTATTATCTCCAGTGTCAAGTCCTGTATACTGTTCGTCACTAGGGGATATTTCAATAAAACTTAGCAAATAGACGTAATTCCACGTACTTTTGAGGTCGGTTTTTTAGTACTCTGTACTGAGATTATTAAATAATAAGACTGCTGTATAGTCATAAAACTTACCCGGCAATATAAAATAACGGTGTTCTTTGTGTCGGCGGCGTAACCACCCAGTGCTGCGACAAGGGCGTCGCGCAACCACGCTTCTTTGATGCCTTCGAGCCTTGCTGCTAGCGCCCTGTAGCGGCAGTATCTTGGGTAGGAGAATACCACTACGCCTGGAATATCAGGTTCTGACGCTGGAAAGACAGAAACACGTACATATATTACATATTATATTACATATATAACATAGTATATATACACATATAACAATATTCTCTTCAAATTTAAATGTGACCATCACTGAGGTACCCTCTTTTCAACAAAAAAATAATCATCGGAAAATTAAAAAAGCGATGTCAGATTCGAAATCTGCGCCCTCGAATTACCTATAATTCAGATGTAAGAAAATAGAAGGCGTCGGTTCGAATCCATATAACAAACTAGTGGAGTAATTTCACAAAAAATAATTGAATAACTATTCAATAAAAATTTAAAATACAGTGAATAGCGACATCTCTAGCCAGGACTGGTAGCTGTAAAGGTACTAACTGGGTGATAAATCTTAGACTTCTCATAGATGGTGCTACGACTAAAAAGTCGTTGAAAAACCAAACACAAAGACACGACGCAAGCACATAGAAAAATTCATGAGGTCCGCTGGTTCATTCCGCGTCTTAGTTGGTATAGCGTCTGCCACGGTAAGCTAGAAGACGTCGGTTAGAATCCGGAATTTTTTGAGTGTTCGATCTTTGTTTTAATAATTATAACAAACTAGTGGAGTAATTTCACAAAAAAATAATTGAATATCAATTCAATAAAAATTTTGAATAAATTATTATAATTATATTATTACATTCGCTGAGTAGATCCTTTTACATAATATGTATAATATTCGTAATTGTTTCGTGTTGCATACTTGTTGAGATTGGTGTTTAATGTTGTATAGTTTAATGAGCACTGATTATTAAGTTCCTATAATTAACACCGCCTACATGCTAGAAACTGCCATATTTAAGAAGGCAACAGCGCCAATGTGCAATTTCTACTTAATTCATAAGGATATAACCTTAGAATAATAACGCATAGAATGATAGTTTCATATCAAACGAACTGTCACAAGTGAGGCAAAAATCTAATTCATGTAGGCTAGTTTTAGTAGTAGGTTAATTTTCGGTTTTAGTGAATATTTATATAAAAATACAAGTTGAAACGCGTTACTTCCTTGTGGAATGTGATGTTAGTATCTATTTTATGTTTGTCTGACGTATTTTTACACTCATTTACCGCACATTTCGTCATTTTTAGCTAAAATTCTGGAGCTGTTCGCGGTGCAAGTTGACCTTGAGCACTGAAGACCCGCCTGCTCGTGTAGGCCCTTTAGGAGCGCTTCAATTTGCCTCACTTAGCGTGTGCGGGCTAGGTTTCTATGCGTTATTATTCTAAGGATATAACTATTTTGTGCATTTAATTATTTGTAGGATAACTAATAAATGATCCTCAAGAAACAATCGGATTTTTATTTATTGTTAATAATTAATAATTCAGTTTTTTGTGTCTCCTGCAAAGTCAAAAAAGGCACATTTAACGCCACGTTATGCCACAACTGCAGTTGGATTATGTTTGCATCATTGTTTTTTTTATTTTATACTTTGTTTCACATGTGCTTTGGCTTATTCTGCTGTGGCTTATAATAAATGTACTTTATTCTATTCTATTCACAGTTGCGGTGATAGCCTCAGTTTTAAATCTCGTAATTGGCAAAGAACAATGGCAAATCATAGTTAACAGAATTCGTTAGCGTCTTCAAATGTTTTAATTACAAGTTTGAATAAAATAAATTAATTAGGTTTTTCAAATTATAATAGTGGCCTATCTGAGTCTAGAAATAAAATCATATTTAAAAGAAACTCTAATGACTAATTAGTATGTAACAGGACTGATATATCTACAACTGTCAGTTTCTTAGTTTCTTAACCAAAACAAGAATTTCACATTAATTTAGTTCACGTAATATAAAATGACAATCAAATTCGACCGGTTTGTAATAAGAGATTAACTACTTAATTACAAAAATATTGTAGATAATTCCTTCTCCAAAATGCCACGCGAAAAAATGGTAAAACTGACAGAAAAGTTCCCAAAAACAGGGATAGATGGCACTTTTCACGAAACAATAATTTGCGTCCGAATTACAAGTGCAGTAGTCTGTGGTATGTATTAATTAACTCAGTTTTTTGTTATGGCTTACCTTCATGCCTTTTGACCATACCGGTATACAAAATAATTTCCTCTGAACTATCGACACGTCACAAACCCGCGGCATCATTCAGCTTCTACTAACTCTGTTTAAGGCTTTTGTAGATTATTTTGATATAATAATATACCGAATATATTTCATTCAATTACGTAACACATAACCTCAAAAATTTCAAACTGGAATATCTTTAATTCCAAACTTCGCAGAATAGTAAACCCAAAACAAAATTTGTTCAGGAATTTGTAAAGTCATGAACCAATTATGCATGTCTAATATTAATGCAAATCACCATATTTTTCACTATAGTTAGAAAAGTTATTAATTAAATACCTTGTATTTAAAATTCACAAGGAACATTCCAATTTACGCTAAATATGTTTTATACTTAGAATAATAACGCATAGAAACCTAGTCCGCACACGCTAAGTGAGGCAAATTGAAGCGCTCCCAAAGGGCCTACATGAGCGGGGGGGCCTTCAGTGCTCAAGGTCAACTTGCACCGCGAACAGCTCAAGAATTTTAGCTAAAAATGACGAAATGTGCGGTAAATGAGTGTAAAAATACGTCAGACAAACATAAAATAGATACTAACATCACATTCCACATGGAAGTAACGCGTTTCAACTTGTATTTTTATATAAATATTCACTAAAACCGAAAATTAACCTACTACTAAATCTAGCCTACATGAATTTGATTGTTGCCTCACTTGTGACAGTTCGTTTGATATTAAACTATCATTCTATGCGTTATTATTCTAAGGTTTTATAATTATTTTACTTTAACAATATGATATTTTTATTAAATTAAATTTATTATTAATTAATAATGGAATTTAGAATAAATTATTATTATAACATATTAATCAGCAGTCTATGTCTGTTTGGGATTTTTCATTAAAGGAAAAACTGGATCCCAAACTGGTGGTACGGAGAAACCATTTTCCCCGTTGAAATTAGGATGTTTTTTAATATCAATGGCCTCTCGCAGCATCCTGGGTAGATAATGAACTCTTTTACGAGGACCTGGGGTTTGTCAAATTTGATTGAATGTGTAGGTTTATTCATGACATGCTCGCAGACTTTAGACTTGTTTACGCGACGACGTTTGACATCAGCTATATGTTCTTTGACGTGGGTACAAATACTTTGTGGATATGTTTTTCTCTTAATTTTAACCATTCTCTATACTAACGTATATTTCTTTATTCTTAATACATATTGCTAGAATAATGCCAGAAACGCTTTAACTATTTATTATTCTAACTGCCTCCGTGGCCGAACGGTTACCATACCGGACTGCCACGCAGAGGTCCCCGGGATCGATTCCCGGGCCGGGAGAAATATTTGTATAGCCTACATTTATTTCTCTCGTCGTCTCTCGATGTGTATGTCCATGGCACCCGCGACACAGTGAGAGGCTATGTTGAGTGTGTGCGTTATTATTATTATTTCTTATTGCACAAATTACAAAGACATATGACTCATTTTATTAACTACATATAGTTTCGGTACGTACGACTGTAGGAAGAGATGACCGAGTGTGAACTATAGGCAATTTTGTCAAACTTGTTTGGTTTGTTTGATCGTTTGCGACATTGTTTGAAGAAAACCTGAAATGTGAAGGATAAATTTGACAAATTATTTGTTCGTTTACGGGGCGCTTAAGCAGTGATTTACGGGGTGGATTAATAGGGTTAGATTAATGAACAACCCCTTTAAAAGTAGATAAGTCTGTCAGTTATTACATGACGCAATTCAAGACGATAACCAAGAGCTTCTTCTTAATGTAACGATATTTCTTTTATTAGAAGACTATTTTATAATCATAATGATTGATTGCCTGACTAAACTCAAGATCTGCCAGAGGGCGATGGAACGTAGCATTCTGGAAACGCATTGACCGAGTACGCAATGCTGCGTTCGATGACTGGCTATGCTGACGTGGGGAGCAAAACAGCCAGAATCAAATGGGATTGGACGAGCCATGTTAACCGGATGTAATGTAAGTGGGCGAACGTCGTCACTCCGTGGGTGCCCGAGGATGGAAAATCCACGGTGGGGACGGCCGAGAAGGCTTTGGTTGGACGATTTTTATGGGTTTGAGAGGGAGCGTGCGCAGGAACTCTTCAATTTGGTTTCACCCTCACCGTTCCTCCTTCGGCCGACAAGAAGGTCCGGAACACTCCATCCTTATGTCGTTGATATACCACCCGTTCGCACTAAGCTCGTTTTGCTTCCTTCTTTCTGATGCGTACGGCAAAGTGATTCCCGAAAAGTATAATTTGGGGCTACTCAAGGCTAGATCTTTTAGGCATACGCGTACCATCGTCGCTTAACATCGGCAAAGCGTTTGTCTATTATATATATAAAGCTACAAATCTTGACTCACTTAGAAAAATAGAACGCATACTTCCCGATGTGGTGTAAAAAAGATATTTATACCGTTGTACGCAGATAGGCTCTAAGGTAAAGAATCAAATATGAGAAGACCTGAATGTGGGAAATGTAAACGAGTGATCAACGGCCTGCAAAAACTATAATACATGGGGGGGATTTTTGTGCACTTTTATGAGATACACTTTGGTCAATTTCTGCAGAAAGTAAAAAATGTTCGAAATTCAAATAAACAAGATGGCCGCCTTACAAATTTCGAAGCCTTCTATAACGGAAACTATTAGAGATAGGTAGGAGGTGCTGGAAGGATTGTCATAGAGGGTAATAGTGGTCAACTGCCAGTGTAAAAAAAATTCAAGATGGCGAATCTAAAATGGCGGCCGAAGAACAACTTGCTTCCATGTGGCTGAAAATTGGCATGCGCGTTTTTGTTTTTTTCACCATTTTTTAATATGGCTGCCATATAAGTGCTTTTTTCTGCCGAAAGAGACTCGCTCTGTGTCAGCTGAAAATTGACATGTGGAGGCCTCTAGAAGTGCCAAATAATAATTTGTGCTCGAAATAGATTTTTCGCCATTTTCAAATATGGCCGCCATAGAAGTGTTTGTTAGCAGGAGAAAAAAATTGTTCTGATCCCTTCCAAAATGGTCATGTGGGAGTCTCTAGGAGTGCTTGATTATAATTTGTGATCAACATTAATTTATCGCCATTTTTCAATATGGCTGCCATGGAAGTATTTTTGGCGGTAGATGAAAATTTGCTCTAATTCACTTGAAAATCGACACGCCGATTTTCAAGGCCGATTTTCAAGTGTTTATTTAAGTGTCTATGGGTGTTTAATAATAACTTCCGGTCAAAATTTATTTTTCGGCATTTTTCAATATGGCTGCCTAACAAACTTTTTTAGCGATTGATAAAATTTTGCTCTAATTCTACTAAAAATCGCCATGAGGAGTTCTCTATGGGAGTTTAATAATAATTTGCAGTCAAAATTTACTTTTTGCCATTTATTAATGTAGTCGCTATTAAAGAGCTATGTTAATTTTTTTTTAAGTCATAAGTGCCGAGGTGAACACATCGTGACATTCAATTAACTGAATTAAAACAGTCCTTACAGAAAACTTTAAAATATTTTCAAATATATTTGCCAAATAGGAAATTGTTTAGTGTCCGTAATAAACTTTAACCTGTGAATTAATTTTGATAATATTTCACGGGAAATGAGTGATTCGTTTTTCATCGATTCCTGAACAAAATACTCTTTTTGAGTTAAAATACTATTGTATTAACGGTACCATACATTTGTTGTGAAAGTACTCCCGTAGTAATAAATAAATAAATAATATACAACATCGCATACATTGCTCTGATCCCAGAGTAAGTAACTAAAGCATTTGTTATATTTTTTCCACAAACAGAAAATTAAAACTTACAACTATTTTTTTTACAGTAAATATGTAATGATTGTGTAATCAACGCCTTTATCCACTAATTACTACAAAAAACTGAAAAGTGGTGGTGGTTTGTAATAAACAAGTAAATAATAAAAAACTAGAAAATAGTACACGGCTACCATGCCGCCACTGCCACGCAGAGGTCCTGGATTCGATTCCCAGGCCGGGAGAAGTATGTGTAAGGCCTACATACAGGCCGCGATATATTACAGGGTATCCCTATTGCGGAGCTATGTTGAGAGTGTGTGTTATTGAGTGCGTACGATATTACATTTATTTATTTCTCTCGCGAGTCTGGGTGTCATTTGTGGTTGTCTGTGTGTGTCCCTAGTACGGGGCTATGAGTGTGTTGCGTTAAAAAAAAAGTTATGTTCAATACAAACCAATGAAACGTTTGATACAAAAAAAAAAGGAATTACTACATACACGGGGGTATACACATACGAGTAACATGTTATATTGTATGACACAAGGTTCCAGGGCTACTCCGACTAAATATTTAGAACCATTGGAGTCGAACAAATTAATAGGCTGTTTCGAAAACTCAAGAGCTGGCAGCTACGTTGCCCAATGTATTAGCATAACCATACAAACGGAGAACGTTGCCAGCATCTTGGGCACCTTGCCGCGGGGACCCATATTTTATTCATATAATTTGTCTAGTTTTACTTTTGAGTATTTATGCTTTTATTAGGTACCTTACCTGTATATTATGAAAATAAAATGATTAAAATAATAATGGAATACCTAGTAAACGACTTCATAAATCGCTAAGATTCGGCTGGATTCGATTCAACGTGTTCCAGCAAACCGTGTCAGACGCTGTGCCAACTAAGACACGGAACGGGTTAGCAGACCTAACGCATTTCTCTAAGTCAGGGCTTCTTAACCTGTGGTCCATGGACCCTGAGGGGTCCGTGGCGAGCCTAACTAGCATAATGGAACAGCAACCGTCATACTAACTGTTCATATGTAATTAATTAAAGTTTAATCACAAGCAATATAAGCCAGTAAAAGCTAAATCTAGTTTTTTATCTTTTCGGAAAGGTTCTGTGGGCTCTTTGACATTTTGAGAGGGGTCCATGACTATAAAATGTTTAAGAAATTACTCTAAATGGTTGTGGCAGATCTTTGTTTTTTCATTTTTTTTTATTTACAAGACATACTATTTCATATAACAAAAAACGAAATATAAAGCATAATATGGCGGGTGACTACTCCATTAATTTAAAGCAGGTTATGTGTCAAGGGGCAAATTACGCCATAGGGTAAAACTGCCCTTTGGAATGGGGTAATGCAAAAAAACTACTCACCTGTAAAAAAAAGTGGATGCAAAGACAAATTGTTATTACTTATGTGTTTCGATTACTTTACAACACAGTATGCCAACAAAACCAATAAAAGCCATATGCAAACTGTTGGAAGGAAAATTATTGCTACAAATATAAGGCAAACCACATCGTATGTACGTCATTTAAATTTATATACAGGGTGATTAAAATTTGCACTGTAACATTTAGATTTTCCTCTAGTGTTGTTTGTACTATTTCAACTGTATTGTATTGTGATGATGTAATTATATTTCATTTCACATAGCATGGGTACGGTAACGTTTGAGATTTGAAATTTCTAAAGATGTGACGTAAAATCGAACGAAAAAAATCGAGTATATTTTATCAAGATAACTTCTAACGAAAAAAGAGTCGATTTAGAGACGGTAATTTAAGAATAAATAATAAACTAAATAAGAAGGATTAAATTATTATGTTAGTAAGCTTAGAATAATAACGCATAGAAACCTAGCCCGCACACGCTAAGTGAGGCAAATTGAAGCGCTCCCAAAGGGCCTACACGAGCGGGCGGGCCTTCAGTGCTCAAGGTCAACTTGCACCGCGAACAGCTCCAGAATTTTAGCTAAAAATGACGAAATGTGCGGTAAATGAGTGTAAAAATACGTCAGACTAACATAAAATAGATACTAACATCACATTCCACATGGAAGTAACGCGTTTCAACTTGTATTTTCATATAAATATTCACTAAAACCGAAAATTAACCTACTACTAAAACTAGCCTACATGAATTTGATTTTTGCCTCACTTGTGACAGTTCGTTTGATATGAAACTATCATTCTATGCGTTATTATTCTAACAAAAATCAGCAACAACCAAACAAAAAGGCGACAACAAAGTATAAAATTAACAACTGCAAAGAAAGTAAATTTGAACAAGTACTCCAAAAACACCACGCAAAGCAAAATAAAACTATTCAAGGTGTACGCACTCGTATCGATGCGAGATGCATAATAGCAGATTCGATTTATCGATACTATGGTGTAAATCTCTATTGATAAATATTCCGTTCTACGCATCAAGTAGTTGGGGTAATTTATTTTTATCTTTATTATTTCAATTTCTATCTACATAAGATACTGTAATTTTTACTTAGAATTACAACTGTAACAAATATTGTTTGTTTTTGGTACATTGTAAGAAAGTAGTTGGTCCTTCAGTGGTAATAAATGAAATTTAACCAGGCTATTAGTTGGTTTTTTGTAAAGAGCTCTCAAAATCTAGAAAGTCTGAATTAAAAACAAACTATATTTGACCTGCAATTTCCAGAAAATCGTTAGGGATTGTAAATACTATGTAAAGTAAAACGGAACGCAGTCCGACGAAACGGAACTGATGTTTATCTAATGCGCCAGTGGCCAATGCCATAAAAAAATATTGACACATCAGATGTCAATGTCATTCTTGTAGCAATTTAATTAGCCAATTAGAATTCAGATTTTGTATATTTTAGCGTTTAAGGGTTGCTGCTTTTTGGACTTTTTTTAGTATCGCAGTGTTGCTGGTAATAAATTTAACATATCTACCACATTCAAACTTGTAATAATATCTGCATATACTTACGTAATTGATTTTTCTCTTTATCGACGTCGCTGAAGTCTAGCCGAGTGTGATGCAGCGGCTGCGTAGGCACAGCTGCGGCGGGGGGAGCGCACGCGCCCCTCCACACCGCCTTCAACCCGCACTCCCATGACGCGCCATGGCTCAACCAGCTTAGTAAGTCTTCAGCTTTCAACACTACTTTGTCGCTTATAGCTAGAACTTCGTCCTGTGAACAAAGAAATAAAAATACTTTAGATAGGAATATCAAATAACCACAGACATATATCTAAATAGACACCACAAGTGCCGCACGATGACGTTACAAGTGTTATTTAGTGATGGAAAACTTCACGGACGCAGTACGTGTTTAGAACAATGATTTTTCAATATCAAATATTAAGTTTAGTAAAATAATACAAGAACACATTGACTTACAAATAAATGCACGACGGGTCTAATACGAAAACCACGAAAAAAAATGTCCCAAGTCAACCTATTTAAACGTAGTGACATGTAAAGGAATATGAAAAAGCTAAAACGTTAGATTTAAATTGTAATGTCATCGCAGTGCTGTCTAATTTTGCTTGCTTCGCTGTCAGTCGAACAAACGAAGACTAAAGCGTGAATGACGCTCTGTATACGATTTTAACGCCCTATAAGTTCGGACACTTTTTAGCGCGGACCCGACGTCCATATAATTGTAAGTCAATGCAAGAACAAGATAATTAAGTTTTTATAACATTTTCTGTCTCAAGAATTATCATCCCTCTGTTTCCTAAATCGATCAGGGGGTCGATTCAGAACCTTACGATAAGTCAGTTATCGTGTGATTTCTTTTCATTTTTATTCA